GTGTGGAGAGGGGAGGAGAGAATGTTTGGACAGGGCGGAGAGGGGAGGAGAGAAGTTTGGACATGGCGGAGAGGGGAGGAGAGAATGTTTGAACAGGACAGAGGGTAGAAGAGGATGTTTGGACAGGGCGGAAAGGGGAGGAGAAAATGTTTGGACATGGCGGAGAGGGGAGGAGAGGATGTTTGGACAGGGTGGAGAGGGGAGGAGAGAATGTTTGAACAGGACAGAGGGTAGAAGAGGGTGTTTGGACATGGCGGAGAGGGGAGGAGATGATGTTTGGACATGGCGGAGAGGGGAGGAGAGAATGTTTGGACAGGGCGGAGAGGGGAGGAAAGAATGTTTGAACAGGACAGAGGGTAGAAGAGGGTGTTTGGACAGGGCGGAGAGGGGAGGATATGGTGTTCGGTCAGGGCGGAGGAGGGAGGATAGGGTGTTAGGATAGTGCGGATGGGAGGAGGGAAATCAAAGTTATAGAAGATGATGAAGAAGAAGAAGAAGAAGAAGAAGAGAATATAAGGTAGCTGAAAGGTGACAAATCTCATGTTTAATCTGACTCTCTGTATGTAATCCTTCCATTATATTGTCCACTTGTCCGTGTGTCTAGATTTATTCAAGTATTTGTCTAGTGTTAGGTCCGCGAGTACCCGGGGCTTAAAATCTATATCTCTGGAGTCTGGAGTAAGTATTTTCAGTCGTGGCTAAACAAAGAGATAAAAGATTACATCTATGATCTAGCTTACTTATAAAATCTGTACTCTGCTGTACTCCTTTGTACTCCTCTGCATCTCTCTATACTCCTCTGTCCTCCTTTGTACTGCTCTGTACTCCTCTGTACTCCTCTATACTCTAAACTCTTCTGTACTCATATGTACTACTTTGTACTCCTCTGTATTTATCTATACTCCTGTATACTCCTCTATAATCCTCTCTATACTCCTCTGTCCTCCTTTGTACTGCTCTGTACTCCTCTGTACTCCTCTATACTCTAAACTCTTCTGTACTCATATGTACTACTTTGTACTCCTCTGTATTTATCTATACTCCTGTATACTCCTCTATAATCCTCTTCACTTCTCCGTACTCCTCTGTGCTCCTCTGTACTCCTCTGTGCTCCTCTGTGCTCCTCTGTACTCCTCTGTAATTTTCTTTATTCATCTGTGCTCCTCTGTACTTCTATAAACTTCTCTATACTCTTCAATAATACTCTATACTCCTTTATACTCCTCTCTACTCCTCTGTTATCTATACTCTTCTGTACTCCTCTGTACTCCTTTGTACTCCTCTGTACTCCCCTGTACTCATCTATACGCCTCTGTATTTATCAGTACTTCTCTGTGCTCCTCCTCCTTTATACTCCTCTAAACTCCTCTGTACTCCTCAATACTCCTCAATACTCCTCTATACTCCTCTATGCTCATCTATACTCCTCAATGCTACTCTATACTCCTTTATACTCCTCTGTACTCCTCTGTTCTTCTTTATACTCCTCTCAATACTACTCTTTACTCCTCTATACTCCTATTTACTCCTCTGTACTTCTCTTTACTTCTCTGTACTCCTCTGTACTCCTCTGTGCTCCTCTGTACTCCACTGTTCTCCTTTGTACTCCTGTAATCTCTATACCATGATGAATCTATCCTAAAGGAGATTAGTTGAGCAAACAGAACCTATCCTGCTCACTCATTCNTTAAATTAAATATTTTTTTCGATATCCTGTTAAAGTGCGGAAAACGAACAGCCAATCAGCAAATGAATTTTTCGTTTAACCAATGATTACACAGAGAATGTAGGGATGGAGATTAGTTGAGCAAACAGAACCTATCCTGCTCACTCATTCAACTAAGATATCATTCGGAGAGCAATTGCACAACGGGGGGGGGGTGACAATATTCCCTACCCGTACTTTCCTTACAAATTCGTTTTGATCAAGTTTTTTTGTTCATTTCATTTTTGACAATATTTTTACTTAAGATTCGTTCTATATATTCCTAAGATTCTATTCTAAACCTGAGTACTTTTGAAAGATTCTATTCTAGACCTGGATACTTTAGAAAGATTCTATTCTAGACCTGGGTACTTTTGATAGATTCTATTCTAGACCTGGGTACTTTTGAAAGATTCTATTCTAGACCTGGATACTTTTGAAAGAACAGAACTGGTTTTATTTATTTTCTTCTCGTGGGGAGATGAACCAATGTCAATATTTCTGTGATTATTTCCAATTTTCTGTGCACTGGTTACAGAGTTACCCTTAAAGGATGAGACTAGAAAGACGACCTACAGCACTATAAATATTTCAATTCAAAGGTTGAATTTAACTTAAATATAATTTTGTATGGTATGATTGGGCGAAGAAAGAAACAAGTTTACAGTTATACAGGGAATCAATATTATAAAGAAACAACCCAGATATATTCCGTGCAGTCGTCTCTGAAGTCTCATCCTTTGTGGGCAACCCTTTAGGTCTGTATATTGGTATAGGGGTGGAACCATAACACGACGACAATTAATCGTATGTGTATTTGATGAGCAGTTACAATTTAAAAATAGTTTTACCATGCAGTAGCTTAAAAAATGTGTTTCTGTTACACTGCACAATTAATGTGTCTCATGTTCATTGAACCATTTAAAACCAAATTTGTGTCTCACTGTCGTCTTCTTTTTCCACAGCAGTACGGGTCACACTGTATTCCCAACTGTATGTTTGAGGGTTGTTCTCTTTTGTAATTTATTGCTAGAGTTTACCAGGGTATTGTGCTGCTAAATGTCCAAGAATGGAGGAAGGGGTAAGGGTTAGACAAGAACAGGAAAAGGGGGGGATGTGGGGGAAATTATGGAGGTAGAGGGGAGGGAGGGATGAGGGGGAAATTATGGAGGTAGATGGGAGGAATTGAAAGAATGTTTTACAGCAGCCGCAAGGTTTTTTTCTCCACAATTTCTATGTAAAAGGCAACAGAATTTTAAAGAAAAAAAACGATTATCGATTCACGTGGGATTTGTCTTTGTCACAAACTCTGATTTTATAATCCCTACATCTTTGCAGCACATTGTTGTACTTGTTGACCTTAGATATTTTAAATTCTGTTAAGATCAAATAATATATGTTTGTAAATATCAAAGGATTACATCTTCAGATTGCAAAATTATAGAAATTAATAAACTTGTGTTTGTGGCAAAGACTCTATTTCGTTGCAAACTTGTGGTCTAAGTTTGTCTAGAGCTCTGGATTTCTACAGAGAAGAGTTGATGTTCTAGACTTTACTGTTGTAAGGATAAATTTGACCGAGTATAGATAGATAGATAGATAGATAGATAGATAGATAGATAGATAGATAGATAGGTAGATGTAAATCCATAAATATTTGTATGTAAAGACCCTAAGCCTATGAAAGGTTTAAGTGTACTCGTATCATACAAATATAAACTGGACAGATATACAATACATACAGAATACATATATAATATGTACATCTATACAATACATATATAATAAGTACATATATACAATACATATAGAATACATATATAATAAGTACATATATACAATACTAGAATACATATATAATATGTACATATATACAATACATATAGAATACATATATAAAATATAATATGTACATATTTACAATACACATTACACATAGAATAGTAATAACATTTGTTTCAAGTGCCATGTCTGATTCACAATCGTACCATGATCAAAAACGAATAAAATGTCAAATTTTTTTAGAAATAAAATTCTTTAACTGCATGGATTCCTTACTAAATGGATTTGACCTATGGTAACTTAATGAAGGAAATTGTCAGACAAACACATTTCAAATTAGAAAAACGACGACATCTTCCACATTGTTGATCATATCAAGGTTTAAAAGCCTAGGTTGTTTTTAAAGGAAAGTCACTCAAGAAAATCCTTTTAACCAACTGAATTTTTGAAAATTATCAATGAACTTTGTTAAAGATTTTGAAAAGTACAATTAAATTAGAAAAAATTATGAAAATTTTGTTAATCTGCCAACTTAAACTATGCTTTCAATATATATTTTTTTATCGAAAAATGCTGCTAAACACAAAGTAGATAACTAAACGAATAAGATAAATAAACGAAAAATGCTGCTAAAAAAAAACAAAGTAGATAACTAAACGAAAAATGCTGCTAAAAAACAAAGTAGATAACTAAACGAAAAATGCTGCTAATAAACGAATGAGATAACTAAACGAAAAAAGCTGCTAAAAACAAAGTAGATAACTAAACGAAAAATGCTGCTAAAAAAACAAAGTAAATAACTAAATGAAAAATGAGTAGATAACTGAACGAAAAATGCTGTTAATAAAACGAAGTAGATAACTAAACGAATAAGATAACTAAACGAAAAATACTGCTAAAAAACAAAGTAGATAACTAAACGAAAAATACTGCTAAGAAACGACTGAGATAACTAAACGAAAAATGCTGCTAAAACAAAGTAGATAACTAAACGAAAAATGCTGCTAAAAAAAACAAAGTAGATAACTGATCGAAAATGCTGCTAATAAAACGAAGAAGATAACTGAACGAAAAATGCTGATAATAAATGAAGAACCATTCTACTTATTTGCTGAAAACGGACGAAAATTTTACTTTTGAAGACTTCGTTAACAAAATTTTTTTTTTCAACAATTAGATATATTTACAAATAAATAAATCATACATCTACATTGGAATATTGTGTTACAATGGATGATAAGCAAGGTTACTCACAAAGAATGCCACTATGATGACGATCTAATCCTTGATCTCGATCTTTTGTTAATCTACAATTAAATTAAATATTTTTTTCGATATCCTGTTAAAGTGCGGAAAACGAACAGCCAATCAGCAAATGAATTTTTCGTTTAACCAATGATTACACAGAGAATGTAGGGATATCCAAAAACAATCAGATTCTCCGTAAAATTCAAAAGTATGTAGGGCGAACCGCGTCAGTTATATCTTCCTTCTATTCCTTACTCCCTGGACTTTGTCTAAGCTTGTTTTGGTTTTATAAAATTTTATTTAATGCAAAAGTTTGAATTTAAATATTTGGAACATATTGTCTCATTTTTTTACGGAAAGCTTTATTGTACTACATGAGAACTTCAGTGAGTAGAAACTTAAATGCCAAATTCAATCTTCATTTCGTCATATTTTAAAATATACAGAGCTCGGAGCTTCCTTGATCCTTGATCTCGATATCTACAGTGATTACTTTTGAATTTTACGGAGAATCTGATTGTTTTTGGATATCCCTACATTCTCTGTGTAATCATTGGTTAAACGAAAAATTCATTTGCTGATTGGCTGTTCGTTTTCCGCACTTTATATCTCCCTTCTTTTCCTTACTCCCTGGCAAAGTCTCATCCTTTTATGGATATCCCTGCAGTTTGTAAGCGTGCAATCAAATAACCATGAACTATATAATTATTTGAATATAATAAATATGAATGTGAATTACATGGGTGACAAAGGTTTTAGACATATTAATAATTTTTTTGAATTGTACGCAACGGCCCAAGTTTATGCAATGGCGTACAGAGAAGTTTGAAAAATTGAAGCGTTTTTATACCTCAATTCTATTTTTTTATAATAAAAACTTTTTAACTGACTAAAATACAGTCGGTCAAAAATCTAGATTTAGATTTTGGTAACATTTTCAAAATAAATATCGGAATCATGTAAAAAAAATGACCAAGCAAGCCAATAGATTTTAAAATGATAATTAGTTTTCAACACTGCGACCAGTCCCTTTAGTTGTCTAGAGTATTGGAGCTCTATGTGTGTTGTAGACATCAATGATAATGTTGTTAATGTTGGTTTCTCCAACAGTTTCACGGAAGAAAAGTTGTTCAACTGTTTCAAACCTAAAAAAGCGCAAAATTGTTTAATGAAAAATCGGGAAATTTTGTTTCAGAAATTTGATGCCTGAGAATCGTTCAAGACGTAAAACACTGTATGAGAATGATTTTTTTTTAACTGAAATTAAAGTTTAATTATCTGTACTGAATACCATTATTTTGAGAGAGTCTAAAATAAAAACCTCCCGTAGCTACGTCATTCATTCATTTCATATTTTTATTCAACTACAAAGCACGAGATAATACAAATAAAAAATCACAATTTACTATGTAGTTTGGACCCGCCTAACCAGAGTAGGTTGTTTTAATTGGTTGGCCCACTATAAACGAATGAGAATTGCAGATAAAAACAATGTACATTGTACATTTTAAACATAAGAATGATAATAAATCAGGTAAAAGGTAAGGAGGAGGTGAGGGAGTATAAAGAAAAGGGAGGATACTCAGCGTAAGGGTTGGAACAGAGGGTAACATAAGTTATTAGAATCATGTTTATGAACTACAGGGTGAAGAAGATAGTAAAGACTAAGTTTATCCACATGATACACAGTTTTTTTTTTTACAGATATAATTTGCATAACTATCTAAATAGATCTTGGCGACTTTT